GTGGGGTGCAGAGAGATGAGGACAGGGTGCAGGGCCTGTGTGGGGTGCAGAGGGATAGGGTGGGGATGTGGGGCGGGGGTTATATTGCACAGGGTGTGTGCAGGGCGCAGTGGGGTGTGGCGGGGTTGAGTGCTTTGGGGTCTTGTGGGGTGGGAGTACCTGTGGGTGCCCTGGGGCCCCCAGGGAGTGCAGTGGGGTACGTAAGGTCAGTGGTATTGGGGTGCAGTGGGATGAGGTGGGTGTGTGGGGTACACTGGGGTCTTATGGAGTGTAGTGGGATGGGGTGGCTGTGGGCACACTGGGGACTGTATGGGGGCTGCTGTGGGGGGGCACAGTGGAAATAGGGTACACCGGAGTCATTTGGGGTGGCAGTGGGTGCTTTGGGGTCTCTAAGGGCGGTTGCATTGGGGCACCCTGAGGTTGTAGGGCAGTTTTTCTGGGCAAACATCAGTATAATTGGGAACGTCTGAACCAGGAGGGATGTTGGTGGAAGTGTTGGAGGTATGGGTGGGCTCTGCTGCTGCATATGGCTCTGCGGACCCTGGGGAGAAGTTCCCTGCTCCTGTTTCTCCCTGGCGTCATGGGAAGGTGTTTGTCCTGTTCTTCCCTTCACCCCCCCTTGAAGTGGTACCTCAGCTGTGTCCCAGTTCTCCTTGGAGGAGTGAGGACTCCGTACCTGTCTGGAGGTCTGTGGGAGGTTTTGGGTGATCCGTCATGCCATCCTGGGGTGTTGCAGCTGCCCTGGGATGGCGTTAAGGTACGGTCAGGTTGCTCCTCTGCTGGCAAACCGGAGTCTGAGCAGCCTCCATCTACGAAAACTTGAGGGTGGGGTGGCACGAGGCTGGGCAGCAAAGTGCTCCAAGTGCCCGTGGAGGCTGGGCTCTGCCTTCTGCTCTGGGTAAACACTGCTGCAGCTGTGTGTTCCCAGCCTGCCGGGCCCTTCCCCACCCACGTAGCGTTATGGAAGTGTCTGCGCGTGCCAGATTCTGCCCAGGCAGCGCCCCAGCCTTCAGGACTGATTTTCTGCTGTGGGCTTAAGTCTTGGACCTCTCCAGAGTCTTGGTTCTAAGCAAACAAAATTAGTAGCTAATTGTTTTCTGTATGTCCTTTGGGACAGAAGGAGAGCAGCGTCGCTGTGGCACAAGCAGCCGCAGCCTTTCCACCTGCGAGGACTCAGCAGAATTGATATGGCTTGTTCCCGCCCTTGAATGCGCTGCTGCTCCTGACGTGGCTCTCCCAGACAGAGTCTGTGACCGGCTCTCGTCATTCAAGCTCTTTATGCACAAGGTCCTCAATGTGCCTTGATGTTCTCAGCTGCGACGCAGAGAGGACCACAAACGGGTTCAGGCTGCAGGGTACGTGTGCTGCGCAGGGACAAATCCTGTAGGCAGGCTACGTGCGTGAGCTGTTGTGTCTTGACACCAAGTTTTCCCTTGTTGGCGCTCTGCTCCAGTTGAGATGTTGCTTGTTTTGCTGTTTACCCTGTCACAAAAACCGCTCTGCGTGGAGCTGTGAGGCAGATCTGGGCCGCAGTGAGCGGGGGCCCAGGCCCGCGCTAGCGGGTGGAGAGGAGGTAGCAGAGTGGGTATGAGGGTGGCGGGGGGGGAGGGCGTTGCAAGCCAGAGGCTGGAATTTGGGTTTCCACCAGCCCGGTGCTGTACAGCTTGCTATAAATCATGTTGTTTTTCAAGCGCTGCTCAGAGCCTGCTTGTTGGTGCGTGTGTGGGGGGCTACCCTCCTTGAATCATAGTGGCTGTTAACCACGGCCCTGCTCTGAACTGCCCGTCTGTGGCTGAGCAGGGTAGGTGATCAGACCGTGCCTCCTCCACAGCTGCTTGGGACTTAGCCAGCAGTTACGAGGGGCAGGCGGGTGGGATGCTAAGGGAGCAGATGTGAGGTGCCTCCTGATCATCAGCTGATAGACAGATGTGAGACACTTCATGTCTTGTGACCACTCTGCAAATGTAATTGCTGAATTTCCACATCCTGCTGTCAAGGCAAAGCAAAGGCCGGGGGCCTTCCCAGCTGGTGGGAAGGAGACAGCAGGAAGTCAGCGACAGCAGAAAGGAGCCGGTGTGGTAGCGTCCTTGGGCCAGGTGGAGGCAGAGGTTTTGCATGAAAGTCATTTCAATGAACCACAGTGGAGACTGTTTCTTGTGCTCTGGGCTGGGCAGGAGCTCTTGGAGAGATGCCGTGATCCCAAATCCACCTCGTTTTACCTTTGGCAGACTTGGCTTCAGATTGGTGTCTGCCTGGGCTGCTCTGGCCTGGCCCGATCTCTGTTGTGGAGTGTCGCTGCTCTGCTGATGGCTGCCAGAGAGGATATAATCTAACTTGACTCCTGTCTTTGCTGCCAAAGGAGTCAGCTCAGTTTGCAGATGAGGTGTGAATCTGCCTGGCTCTGCGGTTTGGATGTGTTCTCCCAGGCAAACCTACCTGGCGAGCACGTCTGCTGCCGTGGCAGAGTGTCACATGTGCTGCTTTTCACAGCTCGGATGCCTGGGTTCATTTCTGCATGTCTCCACTTATTGAGTATGTCAAGTCTCGTAGGTGCTGCGGCACCATTGGTTCTGCAGAGCCTCCGGGGGAAGCGGCCTCTCTTCACACTTCACGTGCGGTGTAGTGAAAAGTGCCAGCGTAACCTCTGGTGGGTGGGGGCTGCCAGGCAGCGGCTCTGCGGGTCCTCCTGCTCGCTGCTGCGTATTGAGTTGCTGTGCTGCTGGAACGCAAATACAGAGCCTATTTTCCCATTGCTGCTCAGGAGCTGAGAGCACAAACCCCTCTTTGTGCAGAGCAGGGCGGTGTGTGGGGTGAGGAAGGACTTGGCTTGGTCCCTCTGTGAACAAACGAGGACTGTTGGACCCGACGATGCGGCGTGCCAAGCCGGGGTGCCATCTAGAGCGTATGTCAGTGCCCAGTGCAGAGACGTGAGCGTGGCACAGAGGGGAGTATGTCTTATTGGCACAAAATTGCCACCTTTACCGTCTGGAACGCTGCCCAGCCCCTCTGTGTTCCTTTCCATTGAACTGGGTCCATTTGAATTAGTTTCTGCAACTAAAAGTAGGTCTGTGGTTCCATGCTGTTGCAGGCCAGCTGGTGACGCAGACGTGCGAGTTTGTGAAGCTTTCAGGCTGCTGTGGCTGCAGGGTATTAGACCCTGAAATGAAAGTCGCTGCTCAAGAGTGCAACTCTGTTATTGGATTTTCTGCTCTTACTGAGTCGGGTCTTAAACGCGTTACCTCTGAAGTGACGCATGCCAGTCCCCCTCTCTACGAACGCCAAGGTGACGGGGCATATTCCAGGTCAGGGCTCGCTTCCCGCTTTGCTTTGCTTTAAAGTGCTGTTGTCGAGGCGTTCTGGTCCTTGTCTGACCTACTTACTTACATCTGGCTGCTTGGAAGGAAGGCAGATTTGCTCTGCCAAAGAAGTAGCTTTCTGCTGGGAAGCAAAGGTGGGAGGAGGGAGCTGGGGGAAAGTGCCCTCATAACGAGGGACTGAAGCGTGTTGAGTTTCTTCTGCTGGCTTTGTGAGGGCAGTTCTGGAATGAATGCCGCTCTCAGAGCGGTACTGCTCTTGCTCTGATGTTACTAGGTTGGTTCACAAATTAAAAGGTCCTTTCCAGAGCTGAGCTGGTTTCCTCATCACTGATCTCTGGGGGACTGCAGTGCTGAGAGCTGAAACCTGCTGCAGGGTCGCTTGCAGCACAGAGACCGCAGAGCTCTGCATGCTCAGGTGCTTCTCTCTGAGTCTTTCTGCTTCCTTTTGGCCAGGCTTCTTTCCCTTCCATGCTCTGGTTTCCCAATGCTGTAGCATCAGTGACCTTAGAAATACCCGCGGTTCTGCAGGCAGGACTGGCTGTACCAGCCAGAGATGCCGCAGCTCTGCGCCCCGGGTGCAGACTCTCCCCCGGCAGCCCCAGGGTGGAGACACCTCGGGAAGGATGCTCGCGGGGAGGTTTGCAGGGAGCTCTGCTTTTCCATTTAGGATGGGAGCAAATAAGGTGAGTTGCAAATGCACATCAGGGCTCGCTTGGAGCATGCCCCGCTCGTAGTCTGGGATGTGGGGAAGCGTGGGCGTTGCGCCGGGCCTGACGCTCTGGGACGGCTGCGTGCTCTGATTCAGCGCTGGCTCCCTCAAGTGTCCTTGTCAAATCTGACCTGCTGGCGCGGTGCTCCTGCAGTGATGTGCGCTGCCTTTGATTAGGCTGGGGCCTGTCTCTACCTTTGCCAAAGCAGCTGGGCACCTTTCTGTGCCTGTAGCCAGGATACGTGGACAGGGTTTGAGCTGGCCGCGGCTGCCTCTGCCCTGGGCTGTGCTCTGCAATGGCAGCGAGATTGGGCAGGGAGCATGCAGAGTCCTTCCCACCGACTGAAAATCCTCTCTGAGGTGCTCTGAATGCAGAACCTGCTTCCTCAAAGCATTCATCCTCTGCCTCGAGCAGAGCAGGAATCTCTCCAGATCTGTGCTGGGGTCCTCTCTGTGCCGTGGTGACAGCGGTGGCGAGCTGGGATGCCGCGCTCTCCCTGTGGGGCCAGCTGTGTTTCAGCCTGGAGGCGTGGGGCTTAAATCTTCCCTTGCACAGGCTGGAATCTGGGTCATTTGCCTGGCGGTGCTCGCGACGTTGTCCGAGCCTAATCCAGCCCCCTGCCTTTAGAAAAGCAGCCAGCAGTGGTGCGCGTGTTACCTTGCCGCTTTGGGCGCTCCGGGTAGCTGGTGCGCAGGCTGCTGGAGCGTTGGGATTGCGTCTGCAAGGACTGTTTGACCCCTGTCTTTGATTCTCCCCATCTGTCACGCTCCATTACTAGATCACGTCTCTAAGCAAACTCCCCTGTTCCTCTGCACTGGCTGTAAATTTGCAGTGTGCTTTTGGCGCCTAGCAACCTAAAAAGCAGCAGAGTGTGGAGCTGCCTGTGCAGAGAATTCGCTCTGACAGGGCTTGGCTCGATTTCACCCTTGGCATTGACATAGGCGCTTCCTTCACACTCTTACACCTACTGTAACTGCGGCAGTCACGGTGAAGGCCCGTAGGGCTGGGCCCTCAGCACCTTTGACCTCATGCCCGAGCAAG